TACCCTCAGCACCTACTGAGTCAGAATCTGCATCTTCACAAGATTCCCCTGGTGATTCGTACGCACAGTAAAGTCTGACAAGCGCTGGAGTGTAACGCCCAGTGGAAGAAAGACACGGTCAGAACACAGACGGAGGATGTGCGGGAGAGGGCAGACTTTGAAGACAATCATCTTGGATAGACCGTGATAGGGGTGATGAATGACAATTCTGAATGGTGAGAAACGGTGCAGAGTTAGTGGAGGACCTTACATGCTGAAAGAAAAATCTCCATGATCATCATCAGCATCTCAAACTCCAAGTCAGTGCTTCCTAAGGCTTTTCTGGGTGGACCAGTCTCACGAGCCAGCCCGCAGTGCCGCACGTGTTCTGGCCCCTCTCCCGCCCTGGCAATTCTTTGTGTACGTTGTTAGCACCTTAAAGCCTCCAGGAAATGAGACAAACATACTTAATTTTAACCAAGCATTTCCCAAATATTTTGACCATGGACATCTTTTTTTTCTGGTGTAGCGCCCATTCAGAGTTCTGTAAAAACATGCCCTGGAAATCCTCAGTCCTGAAGATGCCAGGCACCGCCTGAGGCCCCACGTGGGATAAACCACCAGAAGGGGATGGGGTAGCTTCTGCATTAAAAGTTATCATTCAGATGCTTATAGTCTTCTGAATAGAAAGGTTACAGTGAAAGACTAAAATCATACAGGTGATTAGTAGGACTGGCTCATGAAATCCTAGAATAAAAAGAAAACTAAGGGTCCACACCTAAGGGAGTTACTTTCAAGACAAATAAAAAGACTGCTTTACACAGGAGACAGCAAATGTACGGATTACTTGAATAGAAATAGGTCAAGGAGGGTCTGGGAAAATTCACGGCAGAGGGCGAAGAGCCTGGGCGGACTGTGGGTCAGGCACAAGGAGCCCTTACAGAGCCCGCACGCCGGGCTCTCACTGCAGTTCTATCCCGCAGAACAGCAAGTGAACACTTTTTAAAGGTCCTACATCTTAACAGCGTAGGTTCTTTTCTTGTGTATGTAGGACTCAATTCATTGATAACTTGTTTTTTTTGTTTCTGTTTGTTTGGATTGTTTTAATTTCAGGCTTTCTCTGGACAAGATCCTACCGATTTACTGGGTCACCTTCTGGCCAGAATCAGGAAACAACATAAGAAGCGTGGGCCTCCCTCTGAATGCTTCTGGAAATACTGTGTCTGAAGCGAAATGAACATCTACTGGTCAACTCAAAAGCCACCACCGTAGAAAATTTTAAACAAAGATGCTTGATTTGAAAGCAGTATAGACGAAAAACCAGGCAAACTCTACCCTGTTCATTATTACTTGGAAAATAAATCCTCTATGTTTTGCAAATATCATGAGTGGTTATTTTATTTACAAACATATCCTGAAAATCTATACATTTTCTTTCCATCAATTTACCCTTAAAGAATTATCTGAAAGTTTAAAAGTAAACCTAATAAATAAACAAAAGCAGATACAAAGGAGAAAAAGTCATCAAGTGAGGTTTGGTTAAAATAGTTACAGCACAAATCATTTCGACTATGTTATCTGAGTTATTCCTTTCAAAAAAATCAGTATCTTAGCTTGGAAAAACGTCTAAAGTGAAAGATGCCTTAGGAGGAGGGTGGGACAGCCTGGATCCTTAGTGTCTGATGGAGGAGGTTCACACACTCAGGTCCCCTCCCCCTCAGCTTGAAAACTTTAATCTCTTAACGCTGACACTTGTTTGATCTCAGGTTCCGTGAACTCTAGGATCACAATACTAGAAAACCACCTTCCTAATCTCAGAGAAGAAAGCTGAGGTGGCATTTAAGATTGTGGAACGGAAGAAACAGCCTGGTTTGCTCATTTTTGAAAACCACGTGTGTGTGCACATACAGGCTTCTACACGTATGTCCACGTCACCGCAGCTTAGCCGTCACGGAGCGTGGGGCCCGAGGTCCCCGGAGCTCTGCGCGGCTTCCAGCATGGACCACGCACGCAGGAGAGCTGTGCTTCCAACGAGAAACCCCAACTTCCCTTCTTAGCTCCCCTTCTTAGCTCCACCGCCAAGCACTCCGCCTCGCCTCTCTGGAGGAACAAAGTGTCAGATCTGCACCAAACAGCCACAGGATTGGAACTGATCTTGTCAACAGACATCCAAAATCTCTTTAGAGCACAGGTTAGGTGCATCTTTCCCTTCCCTTATCTAAGACGTCAAGAACAAATCTGGAGGGGAGGGTGTAGCTCAGCGCCAGGGTGTGTGCTTAGCAGGCACGAGGGCCTGGGTTCCATCCTCAGCACCTCTGCTAAGAGAAAAAAATAATAAAACCTAATTATCTTAACCCCTCAGAAAAAACCTTGAAGCACAGATGCGTCATCTCGGGAACAGGCTGACAGCACACGAGCTAAGAGGATGCTGCGGCATGTCTCGCTGCGGAAGTTAAACTGATACCAGGTCTCCGACGGGAACTCTGGCACCACACACGACAGCGGAAAGGGTTAAGGTGGGGTTCCTACGCAGTACCGTCTCAATCCTGCCCTCGTTTTACTGACATTAGGCAACTGCTCGTATGGACGGGGTTCTGGGGTCAGGTCACCGTGTCCACTCCCTGCTCTCGCACAGCTGAGCCCTTGGCCAGGCCATTCGACCCCCTCCAGCCCCGTGTCCTTCTCCATAAAATGCGAGCAGTGCCACTGCTCACTTCGTGGGTGACTGTGAGCTAACACTGAAGGAGACGGCGGCACCGGACAGTCCCTGCTGGAGGGGTCCACCCTCAGTTGACACTCAGCTGTCCTCCCTTCCCGTGCTGTGGTTTTGTCCCAGGAAGTGCCGACGGTGTGGCAGGTGTAATGCTGAACCGGTCCTGCTGGCTTCAGGACCCCATTCCGTGCTTTCATTCTGAGCGTCTCTTGTAGGTGCACACTACAGAATCTGAAACTCTCATAACTCAATTTCATAAGTTAGGCATTAAAAATCGTATTAAAAAATACCTATGTATGTTCAGAACCCATAAGCCACCCACCCCCAGCCAGTGCTGAGGGAGGACGCCACCAGGGAGGGAAGCTGGAAAGGCCGTGTCCTCAGCAGGAGCTTGGGCACAGTGACAACGCAGAGTGACTCTAACCTGAGCACCTTTCTGTGTATGTCAATCTCAGCAAATATTTCTAAATGGTATAAAATATGCATTCAGGGCAAAGGTTTGTTGACTCACTGCAAGAAAATTTCTCAAGTTTTACATGTACACTGTTTATTGTTTTTGCTTAAAAACAGATACCAGATTAAAATAGTAATAACATTAAAAACAAGTACCTTCACACAGTTAATTATCAATTCAGTTGAAACAAAAATTTCCGCTGGGATTAAATTTCCCTTGTGAGTTATAATGAAGTTGCACTTGGTTGTAAAACGGTTCCATCCACACGGCACTGTTCATAAACCCTGACCTCTCATCCAAGAAAATACAGCCTTTTAGGGCAACATTTATTTCAACACTGAAGCCAATAATATACATTTTTATTATCAACTTCTATAGTCATCAATACAAAGTTGATAAACTTGAACAACAGTTTACAATTGCGTAGAGCCCCCTGGGGGGCAGAGGGCGTCACTGCTAAGCCACCTCCGTCCGCCCTCGGCGGTGGAAGCATCACCGTCCAACCTCTAAAATCACCAGCTCGGCCACTTGCCAGAACAAAAAAACTATACATGAGCTTACAGACGGGCTCGCAACAAGCACCGGTTTTAAATCAAACCTAAGAGTGTGGTAAGGCAAAGAAATAAGCAAAAGTCTCTGAAACAAATATCCATAAAGGATGGAAAGGGGGCTTATGTCGGAGAAGACAGGTTTACAACATGCGGACACAAGTGCAACGATGCTCTGACAGCTCTGTGTCATTTCTGATTCACGCAAATTAAAGATGTTATCGCTACAGAAGGTCACAACCAATACCTCAATGCACAATATCCAGGCTGGTTCATTTTTTTTTCATTTGCTTTTTCACCAATGGCAAAAATACCACCCAGCTTGACCAACACAACGAAGACTTCAGAGATCACTGAACAATCGAGATGGAGCAGAAGGGGAGAGTTCTCTGCTCTTAAGCCAGGAACGTGTGCACGGAACGCTTCATACTAGAAGTCCCAGGGAATGTCACGGACAGCACGTGGAAATGGTTCTGACACCTCAACAAGGAATCACCTTTCAGGAAACCACAGTCGGCCCTCCACAATGGTGGTGAGTAAAATCCGAGGATGTAGAAGCTGCAGGTAGAGGACTGACTCGACCACCGTTTTGTGTAAGAGACCTGAGCGCCGGGGGTTTCTGTAACTGCGGGGGGCCCTGGAACCAATCCCCTGTGGACACCGAGCGCCGACTGTTCTACTTCAGAAAGT